CATGAGTCTCACTAAGCGATGAAATGGGCCACTGGGAAAAATGGTGAAGATGCAAATATATGTGCCTTCATCTGAGGGGGACACATTTTGTAGGATAATGGAGCCATCCCACTGTCCTTTTCTTTCAAATCTGACTCTTTTTCCCAATTCGTTGACAGGAATGGGTCCTCTGTCAGGTCTGTAGACGACGAAATTCAAATCTGCTGATCTCTGCCAGCTAATCTGCGACAGGTCTTCTAAAGGGTCCTCCACTACACACCCAAGATAAGCATCCTCACCCGCTGTGCTCACAAAACTGGTGTTGCTTATGAACCTCACTCCTGGAAAGTAAAAGGAAGAGGTAATCCATCAATTAGACACGTTGCCAATTTCACACACATTTACCTTGGACTTCCTTGTTGGTACTTTGTAAGTGCTGCAGGGAAACATCACTGAAAAATGAATCAGTTTTCAAGGCAAAGGGTTATCAGATAACTGGGGTCATTGTGTATGTAGTCCAGCATCTACAATTCAGTACAGAATGAAATGCATGCAATGGATTTATTATATAAGGAATATTCTCACAGGACAGGTGATCAGAAAAGAGACTGAGAAGGCTGATGATGATTTATTTCAGCTCATACTCTATCTTAAATAACAGCAGGTACTGAAACAATTTGGGTGAAATGCCATGGGTGCAACAGCAGAGTCTCACCTGGGATTTGAACCCAGAACCTTCCAATCAGGAGTTCAGAACCCCGACCTTCTTTGATCGGCAGCATCTCTGTAAGACTTTAACAACCTCGTCTTACCATTACTTGACCAATGGCCCACAAATAAAGCAGCCTGCTAGAGAAAAACAGCCCCCAAGAATAAGCAGGGTAGGAAAGTATTAGAAAGAAAACCTGTGGGGATTAAGTGGAATGTTTTATACTGTATATATACCTTGGTCAGGAAGAAGCACAATCCTGCTGATTCAAAGCACTTAAAAGTAAGCAATAAATCATCAGTTTGTAAAGACTTTGATTTTTTCTGTGATCAACTAAACAGTTAGTTTAACTGTGATCTATTAAATTGGCGATTTATTAAATTAATTGATTGACATGTTTCAGCCTTCAAAAAGCAGAAATATCCCTTATTTGAACAGATTACTTTAATTATATAATTGCTCAATAACTGTGAAGTGTACCTAGTCTAAATAAGCAGCAGATTTAGGGTAACCCGCTGTATAAGACGGGGGCTCTCCAGAGCCAGATTCAAGACCGCTAATCTAAACATGACACATACCTCATTAAATGTGTCAACAAAATAAATGCAATGATTCTGATTTGAAAAAACAAAAGATTATCTCAACAATTGCATTACTGAGTTGGTAAGCTACTGTACATGCTCAGAAATGAGGTGTAACATGGTAAAGAAAAGCAAAGATACATGTGTAATACTGCTATTTGCATTTAAATTAACTACTGTCTTTATTAGGATGACAGAGTACCCATTGGGCATACCTAATCCATGGGCTTGGTGATTTTAACGCAGATGACCTGTGCTGTTGTGACTTGTAAATGTGAGAGAGAGCAGAAAGAGAGCAAGACACTGGCAACAGAGTATGAAGTAATTGAACATGGAGTCTACATGTGTATTTGCAGTAAATATAAATACAGTGTCATCAACACACTCTTTAGCCATTTGAAAATCTCACAATTTGTATAGCAGGTACTTTTCTAATTTTGCTTTGATTATTCTTTTGATTTGGAAATAGATGAATATTTACATTACAATTTACTGTTTTTTTGCACTTAAATAGATTTATTTTGAGATCCAGTTGAGGGTAAAGTTAATGCTAGCTCTGCCTGCCTTTAATGTCACTGTGGTTGAAGTGGGACATATACAGTATACTGTATATATTCCACATATCCAGCTCTACAATATTACTGCTGAACCACATTGTGGAAGGTATTAGGGTAATTTCTGGGATCTGTTAATTTAGCCTTTACCAAAAAGTATAGTAAGACAGAATATACAGGTCA